TGCATGCGGATGAATGAGAACGTTGGGATTTCAGAGACTCAAACCTCTGACGATCTACAACATAAAGAGCCAGCATGAGATGACTGCGCGGGTGAGGGCTATCGAGTGATCGAGCGGTCACGTGATCGAGTGACCTGAGCGTACTGCATGTCTCAGAGGCAACAGGTGCAGCTCTCACAGTGAGACCCCGAGAGCACAAGGCAGAACAGAGTGAAGACAAACCGAGGAAAATGACACGGATGTGCAGTATATCATGAACATTATGCAGCTGCAAGCAGAGTATAAATGTGCGTGAGTGAAGGTGCACAAAAACCTCAGGATATATCAAAAATGAAAGAAAGCATGGAATACTGAGGCATGAGGAGGATGAATGAAAAAAAGCATTCAGGGACTCAAGATGTCGAACAATAAGCTTGCTTTATTGCCAAAACGCATCTTTCATGATGAGCAGCAAGCACATGAAACCTGGTCAAAGTGTCCCCCCTCGCGGTTGTGCCCCGCTTCTGTGGGATGTAGCGATAACATGTTGTAGGATAAGGGTGCTATATGGATAATGATTGAAGGATGGTACTATATAAGATGTACAAATGCTGTAATAACACAACAAAACACAGCGTGCGTGTTATACGATAAAAAAACCCAACAATGATTATAATAATAATAATAATACACCTGGGAGGGGTTTGATGCAGCACAACATGCAAGCCGAGTGCCACTACCCCCTCGAAGTGCGCCATTTTTGTATAACAGCATGGTCTGTTATTAATGTCCGAAACGTTGCACACTTTGATGCTTTATAGTTTATAGATTTAAAGATGTGGAACGTCCGAGACACAAGTTAGTTCCTGTTCTCACTTATCTCACTTAGTGCTGCGAGTAACATTCATTCCCTCTCCTCTCTCTCTCTCTCTCTCTCACTATAGAGCCCCCCATAGAGCGTCAGGACTTTCCTGTGCTGATGCTATAGATGTGTCCATGTGCTGATACTTTATTTCGTAAACCTCCGTGACTTTTAAAAAGCGCTTACAGCAAAGAATCTTCCATAAATGTTAAATAAATGTCTCCTGACAAAAACACAACAAGATTAACTTTGTTCAACAGCACATTTAAAAAAAAGATTTGTTCATTGATCAGTGTTAGATTACGTGGAACATCCACACTACAAGTCCTGTGTATGAGCTGTTACTATAGAAACAGTAACGTATCAGAACGAGCGCATTGATGTTGAGCTAATGCTCATTTTACAGCCGGAACTACCTGCGCTGTTATTTGAAAATAATGCACACCGTCTGACCAATCAGAATCGAGCAATCAGCTGCACTGTGGAATAAAGAAATATGAACAATCTGAATTTGTCCTTATATAGGTGCTAGCTCAGCTCACTTGGCTCGCAGTATAGTCCTTGTTGGCTTACTAAGTTAGTCTAGTTAACACCATGGGTGTTTTTTTATATTGTGTTTTATATTGTGGTTAAATTTCCCTACAAGGATAGGGAAATATAGGTAGATAGGGATACCTGGCAATTATTATTATTTTTTTTGATTGATTGATTTTTATCAATTTAATAAAAAAAATGCTGTTTCAAAAAAACTAAAAGAACCTAAATATGTCATTTTTGTTACAGGTAAGGTCTGGGTTAGATTTAGATCAATTATCTGAATTAGCTGCATAATTATGTTAATAGAAGGTCATTTGTCTTATAAAGATAGTAAGTCAGTCTTATATAGATAGTAAGTGTGTGTGTGTGTGTGTGTGTGTGTGTCTGTGTTTGTGTGCATTCCAGTCTCCACCTCTCTCCAGAGCGATGAGGAAGTCTCGGTTGCGCTGGAGCTCCTTCATGAACTCCTCGTTCTGCAGGAAAAGGGCCACGCGCTCATCCTCCAGGTACTGCTTCAGCTTCCTGTCCTGCTCCGAGGCAGAGTACTGCGTCAGAGAGGACAGTGAGGACGACGACGACGAGGAAGGCTGGGACAGGCTGCTTTGAGAAAGCTTGGAATGCAGAGGACAGGGATAAATCAGCACAGACAACCACACCTTCAGGGACATTGAAGGGTCATTTTATAACGAGACCACATCAGAGAACAAAAAAACTGGCGGTCCATCAGCTGGGTATGGATGATGTTTTACTCGGGACAAAACGACCCTTTTGGATGTTCTTTTTTGAAGTGTAAGACTTGGACTAAATATTCATATCTTCCATTACTCACTAAGCAAAAAAACACACAAAGGTCAAATTTGGAGCGTTTTGCTCCGCCCAGTTACATAGATTTGCTCAATATACAAAACCTAATTATTATTTTTTTTAGACTGTTCATCTGAATCAACCCCAAATTTGACAGGTCTTATCAACAGACGCATAAGGAAAAAACATATGTCAAAGATTTGTTTGGGTGCTACAGACCAAAGAATAAAACAAAGAAATTTAATAGTCTTTGTTATATAGGAAGAATACTGAAATATTTAACTTAAAATGGGCTTGGTTTCTCAAATGATTATAAGAGATATTACATATTTTTAAACGTATTTTTAAGTTTACATTTACACCTACTATCAGGAGGATCGGCAAGGTTTCATGGGTCCTGTAAATGCTGCTAATAATTAAGATAAAGACTAATGTATTAGGCATTGGGTGTTTTAAAATACATTTTTACAGTCGCATTGCTATAAAATCCAATTTTGCTATGAAGCAAACCAAACATAAGGGTTACTACGAATGTAAGCTCATTGAAAACTCATTGAAAATGTATTGATATAATACACCAAGCTGCTAATTTGATCACGTGACAGCTCCCTCCAGTGTGTGAGCGATTGGCAACGATCCCCATCCTTTATCATTTGTGTACGAGCGCCATAAACCTACCTGCAGACTGTCAAGCTGCTGGGGCAGGATACGCAGGAAGTCATCAGGGAGGTTGCCTAGTAACGGAGGGTTCCAGTTCCTGTAGCCGCTAACCTGACGATGCTCGGTCGGAGGATTGGCTTCAAACCTGGCACGAAAAAAGAAAATCAAGGTCACTCCTTAAGACGTGGTGATTAACTAGTCATGTTCTTCCAGGCTTGTTGTGTTTGCGTTTGTGAGGACTGGGTTTCGGGGTCATTTAAGGTGATATCATGTCCAGAATCAAAATGAACGGCATCTTTCGAGCAGTGACACACGCTCAAGGTTGAGGAGTTGTAGTAGCGCGAGATTAGCAGCAGGTGGAGAAATGAGCAGAATAAGCGCTTCCTGAAGGTGAACGAACAAACGATTAATCATACACTCTTGATTACTTATTCCAGAAGTAATCAAACCCATTCTAAAACTAATCAATTTTTCCCATAACTCTGGCTATGTAAGTCATTTAAACTAGCAGTTATCAAAACCCTGATTAAAAAACCTGACCTCGACCCCTGTCAATAGGCCAATATAAAACCAAAGATATTAGAAACTGTTGTAGCACAATAGCTATGCTCATACTTACATAGGAACAACATTCCTGAAATGTATCAGTCAGGATTTAGGCCTCATCATAGCACAGAGAAAGTGCTGGTTAAAGTGTTAAATGACATACTACTGACCTCTAATCAGGGTTGTGTCTTCTTGCTTGTGTTACTTGACCTTAGTGCAGCTTTTGATACCATTGTTCATACTATTCTCCTTGATAGAATAGAAAATGTTGTTGGCATTAAGGAAACGGTCCTCTCCTGGCTCAGGTCTTATTTGACTGATCGCTATCAGTTTGTAGATATAAATGGTGACCTCTCTATGCATGCTAAGGTAAAGTTTGGTGTTCCACAAGGTTCTGTTTTAGGCCCACTGCTTTTTACTTTATATATGCTACCTCTGGGTCAAATTATTCGTAAACATGGAATTCGCTTCCACAGTTATGCTGATGATACACGATGATGTATGCTTCAACAAAACCAGATGACAGGTGCTTATAGAAGTACTTCTACTAGGACCACGTGTAGCTAGAAGTAATCTTTCTGATCTCACAGTCAGAAGGTACAGGCTATTTGTTGGTACCCCGAATAGTGAAGGCTACAGCAGAGGAAGAGCTTTCAATTATGGAACAGCCTTCCAATTAGTGTTCAGGACTCAGACACAGTCTCAGAATTTAAGTCCAGGCTGACGTCAAGCTTTTTGTGAATAGTTTTTTTCTTAGGTAAAGAAGCAGATCTAGAGGCTCACACTGGGATGTTTAGATGCTGTCACCCCACCCCCATACACACACACTTTAATGCGTTCACCCTGGTTCCTTGATGGTGGAGTGACTGGCCACCTTATATCCCAGGGTGCGCTCATGTCTGTGTTCCCTTTGGCTCTCCCTTTTAGTTATGCTGTCATAGCTAGTCTTGTCGGAAGCCCTGCTTGCACTCACGCTAAGTACATTGTCCTGAACCATTACGGGACAATAAACATACCTAATCCCTCTCTCTTTCTGTCGAGCTACACATAATACTCCTGAGATATCAGTGATCCTGACCCCTTCTGCTCTCCGGACCTGCCTAATCCATCCTGATGCCCTGCTTCTGGTTGGAGTTCTCATCGACTAGAAGTCGCATGTTGCTGCTGAGGATAGTTCCACATGGTGATCTTTGATAACCTCAAAGATCACTGAGATTACTGACGACGGTACCACTTAAAAACCATTAAGATGGCTTTGGACTTCAGTTCATATGAACAGTTATGCTATGCTATGGAGGGTAGAACTAATAGGGAAATATTCGATATAATACCTTCTTTCTTTTTCTTGTGCAGGGACAAGTGAAGAACCTTTAAGCGTTCTAAATGAAATTTCCCATGTTTCTTTTCAGTGTTCTTGCCTGGGAGGAGGGAACGGTGGCACGTCAGCCGGGTGCTTCCTGTCATAGATGTGCATCTCGTACGAGGGTGGAGAGTAAACAGGTGGGGGTTCTTCATCTGAGCTGTCCGGCTCTAACGTCCTTTCCAAGATCTGCAGAAGAGAAAACGGTAACACGCACATGCATAAGCAAGATGGACGAATTTGTTATACTCCGGCAGTGGTACCTCAGTGGTTAAGGTGTTGGTCTACTATGCAGAAGGTATGAGGTCAAATCCCAGTACTGCCAAAACTGCCGCTGTTGGGCCCTTGAGCAAGGCCCTCAGATGTATCATTTAAATAAACATAAGACATAGAAAACATAGAAACTTTTATAACTGCACAGACCATCTTCTGAGCTTAACTGGCTCTACTACATCTCTGTGTAAAGATCTGTACGCGTAACAGTGCCGAGGCTTCCTCTTCTAAACCGTAACGTACAGAAACTCGAAACCTTTTACCGAGCAGTATGTGCAAATTTCCTTTGACCTCAGAGCAAAGAAAATCCATGTATTTTCACTGAGTCTATCAAACGGGCAGGCCAATGTAGCTCCTGAGGGCTTGTCTGCGCCAGTTGATGATGTTTAAAGAGATCAGCGTGGTTGAGAACGCACAGATCTTGTCTTGAGCCTTCAAAGCTCTGGGTGCGCTCTTTAGGACCTCGGCGAGCAAACTGGGTCAAGCAGTTCTCTGCGATGATACACACACTCCTGCCCCCAGGCATCAGGGCTGGTAGTTATTCAGGGCAGAGGCTCTACAGCTGCATATACTGACGACGCAGAGGAGAAATGCTGCTGGGTGCTGTGTCCCCGAAACTACTGTAATTCCAAGAGCTTCGCACGATCTAGGATTTGTTCCGATGAACCAGGGGTGGAGAATTAGGCGAAAGTATTCTAGCGCTATAATTGAAAAACCTTTTGACAGGCTGCAATATACAGTGCATACATCACAGTATCTAGGTTGGCTTAAACAAACCTAGTAAAAGGTCCCTTAGAGAAAAAAATGTGACATTCAGACCGTTATGTGTAAAATGATGTCATGAAACGCGGTATTCTGCACAACTTATTCGCACAAAATGATACAAATGTATAAACAAAAATAAATAACATGAAATACATGTAATAATCCAAAACGTTTTGTGTGGGTTTTTTTCCCTTCGTGTTAGCCATTTTGCAGAGCTGAAGTTGAGGGATAAACCATTAGAAACCTTAAAAAATCATAGACCAAAAATTCAAAAAGGAAACACAAAGATGTGAAGTAAAATAAATAAATAAATAAATAAATAAATAATCTGAGAGGGCAACATACAGCAGGGGACGTGAAAATGTTTTACAAAGCTGATTATATCACTTTCCTAAATATCTATTTGGCCGTTTCACAAAGTGGGCGGAGTGAATTCTTGAATCTGATTGGTCAGAAGGTTCTTATAACAGCAGCTCTGGTAACATTTCAGTCGTAAAGCAGATGACATTTAGCTATGTTCTAATATGTTATCATTTTTATATAGTAACAAGTCAGACAGGGACTTGTACGGTGGACGCTTCACATAAACGGAGTGTTGTGATGGTAGCATTTTTGGAAGGGGTCTCCAGTAAGGGAATTAGAGCTGTAAGGAGAGAAGAGTTTGTATTTTGCGGTTTCTACAGCTTGTCATGTTAGGAACGATAGTTTATAGCTGCTTTAATATATAACTTGTTTTGTGGATGCTCCACAACATTAAATGTTTTTAATAAATGTAAAATTGTAATCATTGGCATGTTGCTGTGGTATAAGAGGAATGAAAATTTTTAGGACGTGCTGTTATATCAAAATAATCCCCTTTGGTGTATAATCTAATTGGAGGTTATTCTCGTCTTGTTTTACTTCCTCACTTAAAAAACTCAGTTTGTTTATTTTGTTTTTAGAATTAATAGACTACTATCTTTAAAATGTCTTCCTTTTGAAGTAAGGGTGTGCTAACTTTTTCACTGAACTGGATATCATCTATAACCAATCGTTACCTGCCACTATGTCTTCTCCATAACTAATCGTCGTCGCCTTCTTACCTCTGGGGGAATGCTGTCCTCTGAGTCAGAGCTGTCGTCTGTGCCTTGTCCATCCAAACTCATCTGCAGGAGCTGGTCAATGGTGGAGTCCACAGTGCCATTATTGGCCCGCAGGACGCACTCAATCACCTCATGGTCCATGCTCGGAAACATGGTCTTGAAGTCGTCCATGGCCTGGTTGAACTCCAGCCGTCGGACGTGCTGCAGAAAAACGTATATGGTTACATCAAAATTCATTGTGTTCTTTGCAAATCGTTTGCAAGTTCCTTTGTGGCTCTTTTTCGAAACTCGAGTAATTACATCGTTAGAGCAGAAACAGCAGGGAGTATGAGACTCATAAGCACCTGTCGAGAAGACTTGCTGTTATTGAGCTCGGATCCTCCATTACCATTAGCCCTCGAGCCGTGACTGCCGTTGCTGCTGGCACTGCGCCGAAACAGGCTGGTCATCATCTACGGCCGTGAAACTGCCCACTCTCCGCCCACTCTCCTGCTGACCACAGCCCTCTGGAGCTACTCCCACCCCTGACCACGCCTCCGTTATCCTGTCATGGCACTTGTGCAGTGAGACAGCCAGACACAGGGAGACAGCATGGACTGTGCTTGGGTCTGCTGCTGCCTGTCGAGAACCAGCAGCATCCAAACACCGATTTAATGTGTTAGCGTCAGCGATGACCTTCTCAGACTTGAGTCAGGAGGTTAAAACTGAGTCAGTGGGGTCGCTTTGGGCATTTCTTGAAGATCTGCAACACAACAGAGCATGGGGAGAAATAATAATGAGTCTATATAACAAAAATAACTTTTCTTACATAATACGCAAACTTCAGATTTCTTTGAGACGTCGTGACGGATTCAGGTCAAGTGAAAGTTCTACCATCACTGAACCTCGAATAAGAGATTTGTATTCACGGATCCCGTTGATTGGGATGGAGCGTATATGTGACAGTACTGAAAATCACACGTAGCTACGGTCACGTTTTGCAGTGAAATCTCCTTGCCTGGATGCTGTTCCAAAAATAAATCCATGGACTCGTGCCTTGCCAGCAGGGGGTGAAGTGAAGTAGGAAATGGACAAGTATGGGCATACATATGACACGTGCACCAGACTCACTCCGAGCTATGATATATTCCGCAGGAGAGGAGCCCTTCTGCGCAATCTCTGTCTGTCCTGATTACGTCTCGATCTCGCCATTTCCAGTCTTCCCACAAGCCTACGACTCCAGGCATCCCTGTTTCCTGTTTCCATGGCAACAGCCGTATTTCTGAGTGGGAAAGCAGCGTAGGTCGGCGCTAGGAGGTGGAGGAGGAGGAGGAAGAAGAAGAGGAGGTGCCTTCTGCCAACTGCACTGTGACCTCAAAGGCCGGTATCTGTCTGCATCTCAAAGTGCTGGATTTAATAAACATCTTCGCAGCCCACGCAGTGCAACTATAATCACTGACCGTTCCAGCTCTCACACAGAGTCAGAACTGCTTCAGTCAGGGCTTAAAAAAAAACCTATACACTTCTTCAAAAACAGATAAAGAAGTTTGCAAATGGGTAATGATCTGAGACCAGGGACAGCTGATGTAATCGGACTCCGAGACCGAGAAACGGAAATGACACATCTTTCCCCTGATCTGCAAAGAAGATTCGAAAATACAGCTGTAACTCGGTGTGAGTTGAGATACATCTCACACACATTTCAACATGCACCAGGTCCTACAGATTCTGCAGCAAATGACAGATCAACACAGAGAGAGGAATGGAAACCTGTAGACTTGAAACTCACTGATAAGAAGTAACTTCATCCGTTTGTATAACATGCAGTTAGCGAAGGTGTGTAAATACAGTTTTGTATTATTAGCATGAATCCCCCCACTAAAAAAGTCATGTGAAGTCCCTTGTAGTGCACAAGAAATATCCACTCACAAAAACAATAATACAGGCACGAGTCAGAAAACAACACACACAGAAATCATGCTCAGAACTGCGCAGTACAATCGGCAAGACTTCACGATGAAGAGTAGAAACGACCGGGGAACATTTGACCAAACTAAACAAAGTGAAACACAGAACAGGCGAACACAATTGGATAATCAACCAGTGACAGGGCAGTGCTGGAGACAGGATTGAAACCAAAACAAAAGCACATGAAGAACAACTAACAAAAGTGGGAAACGTGGCAAGGCACCAAGAGAGGGAATTCTTAACACTTGTCCTGCAGAAAAAAAACATCTAAATATTTCGAGCTTAATTGACAAATTTAACCTGAAGAATCCATGAAATCATTCTCTATAAAAAAGAAGAAGAAGAAGAACAAGTGCCCTTAGGTTTCAAGTACAAGAGAGTTTCATGTAAACCATGTTTTAAACCACGTCTTTTCAGTACAGGCAGACGTGTGCTAATCACCAGAGATTAGGTAAAAAAAAAAAAAAAACAAACAAACAAAGCACTAAAGGAGCCCTTTAATGAGGTAATTGTGGTAAAGTAGGTGGAACTTTAAACATGTGGTACAGGGAGACACCAGAACCATGAATGCCCTCTAATCACACTCAAGCCTAAATATCCTCATAAAGAACAAAGTGCGGAGACATTGCAAAAAATAACTAGAATGATCTAAATTTAGCAGCGCAATGTGACGAGGTCACCCAACTCTGCTGCAGGTAAAAAAAAACAAAAAAAGAACTAAAAAAAAACAAAAAACTTTGCCGAGGTCCTTGCAGCACTCATGCATATGAGTCCATCATTGTGAAGATTCAGAGCAGCTTGCTGACACAGCGATTCGATTTGAAGAAATGTATCACTGTCTGTTTTTATTTCGCAAAATAGCAATACCTGTGATGTGTGTAACATATAACAGGTGTTCTTGATAAGGTGGAACCTTTTTTTTCCCCATGCAGGGAAAAGGGGGTTCAAAGTTCATCGCCAAACAGGCCATTCATCTCGTCTGGAAACATTCGACTCAGTCGGTTTATATAAGATGAGATTCTGGCCATCAGATCATATATAAAAAGCTCATCACTCAAGGAGGGACGATCGGCCATTACACACACATTGTCTCCAGGCTAGATGGGTAATAAGATGGGTAATGCCTAGCCTGCAGTGGCAGCCATGAAAAGCTGTTTCATTCTGTCCCGGAGCTGCTGTGGTTAACAGAAAAAGAAAACCATTATAGAACAGATATACCCACACACACTTTTACAGCTTTGATTCCGTCGCTTGGGGC